CTCTCTGATGATGCAGTGATGTCATGGTCTAACTTCCTCTCTGATGATGCAGTGATGTCATGGTCTAACTTCCTCTCTGATGATGCAGTGATGTCATGGTCTAACTTCCTCTCTGATGATGGAGTGATGTCATCACCTAACTTCCTCTCTGATGAAGCAGTGATATCATGGTCTAACTTCCTCTCTGATGATGCAGTGATGTCATGGTCTAACTTCCTCTCCACTGATGGAGTGATGTCATCACCTAACTTCCTCTCTGATGATGGAGTGATGTCATGGTGTAACTTCTGTTTCTTCTCTTCCTGCAGACATGGATCTCCTCAGCAGTCCAACAGTCTGAGCCCAGCTCTGTGACCTCGGTCGGCCCGATCCAGCCAGTGGAAACGCTGAGACCTTCCAGCACCTGATCTAGTTGACCCAGCTCCCCAGGAGGAGGCGGCGCCCGTCGGCTCAGCATGACAGACAGAGTGAACTTTAGTGCCCCCAAAGCCAACCCCCGTCCTGCCATGGCGCCTCTGCTCCCACCTGAGCCGATCGACATCATTCGCACCAAAGCTCGCTCCCGCCGGGTCCGGCTCAATGTCGGCGGTCTGAGTCACGAAGTACAGTGGAGGACACTGGACCGCCTGCCTCGGACGCGTCTGGGTCGCCTGAGGGACTGTAACACCCATGAGTCTTTGCTAGAGATCTGTGATGACTACAGTCTGACTGATAACGAGTATTTCTTTGATCGGCATCCCATGGCCTTCTCCTCCATCCTCAATTTCTACAGAACAGGGAAGCTGCACATGATGGAGGAGATGTGCGCTTTGTCCTTTGGCCAGGAGCTCGACTACTGGGGGATCGATGAGATCTACCTGGAGTCCTGCTGCCAGGCTCGGTACCATCAGAAGAAGGAGCAGATGAACGAGGAGCTGAGGAGGGAGGCGGAGACGCTGAGAGACAAGGAAGGAGAAGTGGAGGAGCAGGGCTGCTGCCCGGACCAACGGCAGAAGCTCTGGGATCTGCTGGAGAAGCCCAGCTCCTCCATTGCTGCCAAGGTAACGACCTTCACACACACACTGCTGAGGAGCAAAACCTGGGCCGTTTCTCACTACGTGTACTTGTCTTGGTCAGGGGTCAGAGGTCAGAGGTCAGGGGTTAGAGGTCAGGGGTCAGGGGTTGCAATCCTTCAGTGTGGAGTAATCGATCTGGTTTATTAGTCCAAAAATACAAATAGAATTTTAAAGGCCGAGATAGAAAAATAAAAACGTGATTAATCATTCGAATTAGAAACCGTAGGTTTGGAGATGACAGGTGGAAGTAGCGTAGGATCCCATTTTCTGTGATAAAACAAAAAGCATTTAATGCATTTATTTTCTCAGAAAATGAATGATTAAACTTTACAGTTTAGCACTTTAACTGTTTTTAAGGAGGAAAAAATGTAATTTAGGTGTTTTTTTAAATGAAAATGGAGGGCGACCCGGATGAGTTTCTGGTTGATGAGCTGATGGTTCGGATCGTGCTTCAAGTACGGATCAGGTGGAGACGGGTTCCAACCAGATTAATAGAAGGTGAAAAGCCATGAGGGGCGGAGCCAATCTTTGTTTCTCTCGATGAAGAGGAAGCCTCGATGTTTCTGAAACAAGTAACTGGTTGTTGTTGTCTATCATACATGGCGGATTCAACAACAAGGCTGCGTTTTAGCTCCGCCCCTCATGGCTGCTGTCCTTCATCTCTTTCTGAGGTGTAGACATGTAGGTGAAGGTTTCCAGCAGCGGTGGCGTTTCTGGCCTTTAGTGTCGGCAGCCTTCTGAACGCCGTAAACATGGAGCCACAGGCTCTCTGAGACGCATTCAGTGCAGATCAGCTCTTTTATCTGACCAGATGACCTTTAATGAGTTTAATGAGTTTAAAGACTCATTAGTCTCAGCAGTCTGTGGAAATGACAGCTCCGCCTGGTGAGATGATGCACTCAGTCCATTACGGATCAGAAGCACTGCCACTCATTCAGTCATCGTTCTCTGCACTTTATGATGAATCTATAACCCTAAAAAATGATGGAATCACCACTAAACCAGCCGCCGTTCATTCAGTTGGTTTTTCATCAGATTAAAACAACTGGAAACAAAACTAAAGTCCTTTCAAACAGCAACGCTCCGGCTTTCAGAAACAGCTAAAGAAATGGCGGCCGGTAGGTAGGGTTGTGCCTTGGAACTGCCCTCACGATTCGATTCAATTCGATTCTACGATGCATTGCGATGCATCAAAATCCCATTGACTTTGTAAAATCCGAAATGTGCCCAGATATCCGCTTTCCAAGCTTTTGGTGCGTTTTTAATTAGGCCTACCCGTCTATCGCGGTCATCTCCCTCCGCCTCAGCCATCTTGATTGTTGTTGGTATGCCCCCAGAAGTAATTGAAACTTCACAACTTGTCCATTTGAGGCCAGAAAATAAACAATGACATAATCGATTATGGCACGTTGCCGCATCGATGCTGAATCGATTATTGTTGACACCCCTACTGGTAGGGGAGTGGCGGCCATTGGGGGAGTGAAATCCAGAGGTTCTGAGTCCCACTCTCTCTGCCACTTTGGGTTCCTGAGCAAGACCCTTAACCCCTTAAGAGAAGAAAACTTAAAGCAATATGTTTAAAAAACCCAACATGAGGAAGAAATAGGAGGAAACTGGAGTCATTGTCTGTGAGCGAACTGTTAGAAAGCGCCTAAAGGAAATGATTCCATCCAGGAAAGCTAAAGGAAAGCATCATCAACACCTAAACAGAAATAAAGTAGGTTAGAACGGGCTGAGGAGAAGCAATGGTGGACTGAGGATGACTGGATGAAAGTCATTCATCTCCAGTCTGCACTGGGCGAGGCGATGATGCTGGAACTGATGAGCCTTCTAAAGAGGACCGCCTGAGGAGGATCTGCTGATGTTCAGTCTCTGATGCTCTGGGCTGCAGGTCAGCTAAAGATGGCCGCCATTACAGCTTCAATCAATGAGCAACTTCACATTCAGGTTTTGGACACTTTTCTGATCCCATAAGTTGAAAGGATGCTTGAGAATGATTAAATCAGTTTGCATCTTGCCATAGAGCAAAAAAAGTGAAAACATTCCTTAAACAGACACATCAGGTCAAAGTCACGGCGTGCTAATAGCTGGATCTCTAAGCCTAACCCGGAACCAGGATCCAACCTGCAGAGCTGATCTGGAAACAATCAGAGAAAGCTGGAGCCAGACTGATGAAGAGTTCTGATGATTATTATTGTTTGTCTTTCATTAAAACACATTTTATTTCCTGATTTTTTTAGTGTTTCTTAAAGCCAGACGATTGCTGTTTGAAATGATTTTGTTTCCTGTCTGTTCGGCTTTTTCTACTAAATTAAACTGAATGAAAGCAGCATCTTTCCAGAGGATGAGATCTGAGGCGTCGCTTCAGTTTTAGTTGGAGCTTCAGGGAAGCTGACCTTCATGGAACCAGAAGGTCGACTGAAGACCTGATCTTCACATTTTACTGATTCCAACAGGAAATTCAGGCTATTTTCTCCATTATCCAGATGTTAACATCAGGATAATGAGGAGCAGTTTGATCAGCTGTGTGTTTGGGTCTAGAGGACCTTTGTCAGTCGCATCACTTCCTGTCCTGCTCTCTGATCAGAGCTTCTGTGAAGCTGTGATGCTGGAGGAGTTCAGGTTTGTGGTTCCAGCTGCTTCGCTCTCCTGGGATCCAACAGATGCAGCCAAGCGTTCAGCAGGGCCGACACATCTGGGCAGCCCCTCCCCTCTCCAGCGCCAGCCTCCATGTCCTCCAGAACTGATTGAATTTGGAGAAGGGAGGCGGAGCTTAGGGAAAAGCTTGGACCATGAAAGTCCTGCTGAAAGCACAGCTCAGATGTCAGGAGGTCTGACTGAATCAGGACTATCTTAAAGTTAGCTTCAGGCTTTCAGGGCAGACAGGGTGTAAATGGGAGCTTCATCTGAACCCAGAGGCTCCAACACTTCGGTACAAAGATAATTAAAAGGGCTTAAAGTCCACCTGACCCACCGGCCGGACCACAGAGAGTCTGAGTCACTGTCAGATTTATCTCTGTTACTTCTACAGCCTCATATTTTGGTCCCGTCCATCAAAACGTGGCTGTGAAGGATGTCCTCTCTCACCTGAGCGGCTCCTCCTCCCTCCCTCCTCACCTGACTCACCAAAGCAAACCTTGAACTGATTCAGCAGAACTAATAGAAGCTGAGCTGAACCTGAGGAAGTGAAGAAAATCATTTCTAGATCCCTCAGAGCTCCACCGTCTGTGCTCCAGATAAACCAGAAGCTGCAAAAACGAGTTTAAATGAGTCTTTGGTTCTGGAATGAGGAGGTAAGGGAGACATTTTGCAACTGAACAAGAAAAGTTACATTTAAAATAAGTAAAAAACTATTGAATTTTCTTATTTCCAGTTCATATTATCTAATTATCTTATTATAAGAGTAGAAATACTAATTCCATTGGCAGATCATCATATTTAGTGACTCAAATAAACTTATTTTTCTAATGTATGCTGGAAAAGGGGAACTGAAGGTCAGCAGATGATCCGTCTAAAAAAGATTTTAGGAGCCAAAATGCTCCAACCTCTGGCTGATGATCCCACCTACCTGCCCAGATGGACAACTAATAAACTTATTTTATTCATTTTATGCAACAAAAGTCTTGGATTAGAATAAATTTCTCTGTAAATATGAGCGGCCCATCAGTCTCCATCAAACCACCACCCAGATGGAGAACATTTGATCCTCCTGACAGCAGAGAGCGTCCTCAACATCTTCCTGACGCTTTTGGAGAAACCAGACTAATTCCTTCCTGTGGGAATAAAGATGGCCGCCCTGCTGGGTCAAAGTAAAGAGCAGTGGCCCCCATTGATCCCTCCTCTGTTCCTCATCATGCAGCAAATCTGTTAAATAAATTTACCAAAATGAAAAGAAATAGATCCCATATGAAGAATTGATTGGAATGAAGTGTTTCAGGGTATTGGGCCATTTTTAGGAGCAGATGGGATGATGAGTCTATCCCAGCTGGTTGGAGGATGGAGAGAGGAGTAATCAGGAGGCCTCTGAGGGACGTGACCATCAGTTAAATGAAGCCAGAACAGGTTTAGAGCTCCGCTACCAAACGCTTAACTAGAGCTCAGGAACAATTAGAAGATGAAACAGCTTCCATGATGTTATCATCCATAAGGAGAACATCTCAGATCCTCCAGGACTGAAACCAGATTCTAAAAGATTTCAACTTTAACTCAGAGCTTTAGTGAATCTAATCCGGTTCTCAGTTCACTGGAACACGACTTGTTTCCTCACCAAGTCTGTTCCTGACTAGAACCCAGGAAAGTCTGGACTCTGTTCCTGTAACCTCCATCATCAGACCTAAAATCTTTCCGTGGGGATAAACCGGTTAGCTCAACTAACAGAACCGAGTAAAACATGATTTTTATAATATTAATATCAAAGGAAAATGCTTTATCACTATCCATCTAAGATCTTTCAGTTCAGTTTATTTTTTCAGCTTTTAATTCCAACACATCGTCTCCATTCGCTTCATAAAAAAACATCTTAAATCAGATAAAATCAATAAAAATCTGTTTAAATTCAACTTCAAATTCTTTATTAATCCTAAAGGTTTTATTTATTGTTGACTCCTCAGCCTTTATTCACCAGGTGTTGATGCTGTGGGCAGTAAAGATCTACTGTAGAGGTCTGTGTTGCAGCAGATCTGCAGAGAAGCCTGACTGAAGACCCTCTGTTGGTCTAACTGTCTGATGAAGATGATGCTCACTGCTGTCCATCATCATCCTCATCTCCAGAGGTTCTAGAGGAGTTCCTAGAACAGAGCGGCCTCTTCATCAGCTGCTTGAGCTCTGATGATGATGATGATGATGATGATGATGATGATGATGATGATGAT